CTATATTATATCACTGTCCAAAAACCTTTTGTCACTGATTGTAGGCAGCTGGCAGAATATTGTATCATAAATATAAAGTTTTTGTTACATGTTCAGCCTTGATTGAAAAGTTTAAATTTACCAAGAACCTGAACAAATGTTTACCCATTACTTGGCTAGTCCGCCGATGATAAAGTAATTTCAGTTAAACGTGATATAATGTAAATTCATACACGTATAAATGGGCTTAAAATGCAGGGTTGGGGAAACCATTCCTTATAGCGTGGAGCGAGCTTTGCAGGTCTTAGAAGGTGACACGTTTCATTTTCCATCCCTGAAAAATAAGATGAGCAATGATGTTGTTCACGAGGGACACACGCCATTCCTTGCAACGTGTGACGCCCCACTTGATTTAATTAACAATCGATCTATTGATCACGTGAACACAGAAATGATGAATGTAAGTTGGCGAATGTTTCCGCTCCATAGACATATTCCGCGTGATGAACAAAGAAACATTGCGGTTTGCGCTCGGTGCTTTGCTGAGTTAATATTATACGTTGAGCAGTGATCTGTAATGATGTGTTTTAATTTAACGTACATTAAGGCGTTAACAAATAAATATTCTGGTCGTCACGAACTAATTAGCTTATGACACGTCAACGAATCCCACACGAATCCCAGTCACATTTTACGTAGAAAAGGCAATTAAGTCCAACAATTCTCCTGTTTTTCTCTCTTAGCTTATTGTGCTTATGTCAAAGGAATTGGTTAAGAGGATAACTTCGAGCGAAATCAATTCGATTGAATGAAATTCCGACTTTCGTCGACGATTCCCACTATTTATAGTATATTGAAATATGACATCATAATTTGTAAATGGAAAAGTGGGAATCGTCTACCTTTAACCCATTTTCTCTGTCTTTTATAACGAAACGCGTGCATATTTGAAGCCAACGTATTAATTTATTCCTTACTCACGCAACTGTGCATTTAAATTCCCTACAACGATCATATACATGTGAGAAAATATGGAAATTATTACGCGAACAAGAGTGGGATTCGTTGATACGGAAATACGATATACGATACGTTGTCGTAGTAACATTCTCAGTATTTTATTCTAAAGCCACCAGCCTGCAATAGAACGTACATTCGCGTATGGGCATGCTTGTGATAATATTATTAAAATAATTTACATCATATTATATAACGTTTTTATAACTCTAGTCTTAAATTGTCTCCATACACGCCCTCTAGGGGATAAAGCGTCACTAAGAGGCTGTGTCTTATAAACAGAACAAATCCCGTCTGAATAGAAGCCAATATTTCGCCACAAGAATCCGAGCTTTGTGGAAAGAATCTTCTTGCATTGTTGCGCAAACGCCTTTCTTCCCGTGCGATCACGGCTTGTTAAAACCCCCTTTTTACGCGCAGGTAATTAATCAAATCCAGCTGCCTTCACCTCACGATAAGATGTCCTATAGGAAATATGACGTGATAGCAGCTTTCTGTGCGCAACCAAGCGCCTAACAGTAAAATTTGGGTCTTTATCACGAAAAGTTTTTATTATTCTTATTAATTTCTCCGATCTCTATCTGACAGCGTCTTTCGTCTACCAATTTTCTTGCATGTCTTCAAATTTTGCTTGCGCTGAACTTTTCCTCTCAGATAAGAGAGACTGACGATTTAGATTTTGTTGCATTTTTGGCAATCACTCAGCAGGAATATCGTTCCTATTTGCCTAGAAATAGCACATATGCTCGCGTTGTATCTGAAATAGTTGTTTTATAAGCCATTATTACTTGCTTTCTATATAACTACCTCTTGTTTACAGCATGCATACTGTGCGCTTTATAATACTACAGCTTTGAGATTAATCCGGATGTTTACGATGACGTTATATTCTCCACAAAAGTAACGTAATAAGCACTTAAAGATAATTGCATTTGCTTCCGAACGTGTTTACTAGCCCTAAATTCCAAATTGCTCCACTAGTTTAGCTTGCAGTTCCAAACTACGAAGTTCCTAATGTTTGAGTAGTTCTGGAAACGTACATAAACGCATTATACGATTAAACTAGAATAATAACATACAATGTATGCGTAAATTATCCATGTATACGCTCACCAAAACACGGCATATATAATATTTGTAAACACCATTGGTAATACTATAAAATACAAATAATTCTAGCTTCAATAACTAAAATTTTCATTTGGCTTAGAATAACGTTTCTGACAATCAGTGACAAAACACTTTGGACAAAATACCAAAAGAGCGTACATTTACAACACAATAGAGCCCCCGCACCCCCCGTTCAATGTTGTGTATGGAAATACCTGCGCAAAATGTTTCTTGCCAGGCACCCAACATTGTTTAGGGTGGGGGAGGGAGGGATAGTCGTTTTATGCTGAACGGTATTTGGAAAGGCGCAGATATGTCTATATTATATCACTGTCCAAAAACCTTTTGTCACTGATTGTAGTTGAACAGAGGAGTTTGAAGGACAGCACTAACAACCTGACTAAGTTGTGTACAACCATGTTCAACAAAAGAAACAGGAGTCATAACTGTTCATGTTAATGTCAATATAGGGCCATTCCATTTAATATCCCCCCCCCCCCTCCCCTCCCATGGATGAGGTCAGTAAAACTTTAACCCCTACAAAACCCTCAAAAATGTGTAAATTTTCCCCAATACCCCTTAGAAAAATTGCAGAGATCAAGGATACCGACAGGCTTAACCCCTCAGAAACAACTTCAAATGTAGTCAGCATTCAGAAAAATCCATCCATGGGGGGGGGGGGGTTGGACATTAAATAGAATGGCCCATAGTGTCGATCGTGCCTCTGACATAACAGAGGAATAGAATTGTCAATATATCTCTCTTTAATGTCAATCTCTCTTTAAATGTCATTTTCAACAATTATCCATTTCTGTGTATATTTTTTTGAAGTTTCAATCCATAGAATATTTCGAGCTGTCAGGATGGCTCGACTTGTTGGTGTAACTGTATAAATCAGCTCATAAATTCCAATGACTTTATGCCTGTGTATATGCCTCAATTGACTCCACCACAAATATGGGCCATAGACACATTTTACTACTAAGGTTCCAATGACCAGATGTTATCTGAAGTAACATATATAATTTGGAATGGAAATTAAATATACACTCTATAATCTATATATACAGTTCACTGGATATTATAGAGTTCACTGACACTCGTATTGAGAAGATATTTCAGGATGATTGAATGAATACGAATATGCAAATTAAAATGCAAAATAAATGCAGATTAATCTGTGTATTGAGCAATCATGATCAACTATTTAGACTCAATACGTTAACTGGCAAAAAAACGAACATTCACAAAGTAAACAGAGCTTGTAAATATATATATATATATATATATATATATATATATATATATATATATATATATATATATATATATATATATATATATATATATATATATATATATATATATATATAATTGGATTTTACTCAACTTACCTCGAAACATGCAACTCTCTGAGAGTCTGACAGCTCTCCGAAAAAGGACTCAAACTCTCAAAGGAGTTCGGGAAGCATTGATAAAAAAGAACCGCACCCCCCACTTTTTATAATAACTTTGCATACTTAAATACCTCCGGTTTGAAAATCCGGACATCCATTTGAAAATGCAAGTCGAGATTTGGAACGGCTTTACATAACTCGGCCAAAGACACTGGGCACGAGTGAATGCAAAGAACTTCATGTTACGTCAAGAATAGTGTAGCAATAACATAATCACATGACGAAACCGTTACGGTAGGAATGGTGCTTCTCTGCATTGGAGTAGCTTACAGAAGCAGTGACTCACACACCTGTTCTTTGTTACTACAATCTAGAAGAAGTTACGATCCTGTGTGATACGTCACAGCCTGCCTTGGCGCGGTCCTGTTACAAAACGGACAACCTGTGTTGCATATGCTACCAAAGCAGTAACACCAAGAAAAATAGGGTCAAATAGAGATGGTGCTTTTGGCTGTTGTTTTCGCGTGAGAACTGTTTGAACCCTGTACTGTATCTATGGTATATATCACTGAAAGCCATCTTCAAAAACCACTGATGCTGCACCACAGTGTATCAAATGGATGCTGCTCTGTCTTCAAAAATACAACCTGGAGTTGCAGCACAAAAAAGGGAATGACATGCATGTTCTACAGAAGTATAAATCAGTGCTCGTCCATGCAGGAGCTTGAGGAGATTGATCATCAAGCTGGGCTTCCTGTCATACAGTAAAGTGTAAGAAGCGCTGGCAACAGTTGAAGAACGGTTCTTCATGAGATCCAGTCTTCCAACACTTGCGATCAGCCCTAACTCAGCGTTGGCTAGCAAAGGTATCGGACGCTCAACCACGTGTCTATCCTTATTTCGGTATCGGTTATGAATTTACAGTACAAGGTGAGCTAATCGTCAAAAGACACCAACTGTTGGTTTCTGCTCCACTACGTAAGCAACTGACCGAGATCACCCGTGGTTCGCACATCGCCATTGAGGAATGTAATCACTGATCTAGAAATACTTAAGCGAATGTAACCGACGGGCTCGTGATTGCCTGTAGTGGCAGAGAATGACAATGGAATGGGAAGCTTGTTAGTGATTGACCGATATCGGTATTGGGCCGATTTTTGCCTTATCGGTAGACAATCGGAATCGGTAGAATTATCTGTATTTCCGATTGTATAAAACCGATTGTTGAGAAAATACGCACTTTAAAAATGATATGCATTGCACGTTGATACACGTTGCGTTTTAACGCAATATGTTAAATTAATGCGTGAAGCGTGCCATTTATTAACGGTTTTAACGGTCTTTGGTTGCAGTAACATGTTACGTTGGAAATTATCGTTAAAAAATCGATATGGATGACGTCACCTTCACTCGGTCTACTGATATTATGACGTCATTATAAAATCGGTATCGGGTAGATTGTGGCACAATCGGTCAATCAGGGTGCGATAATTCAATATTTTTAGCCGAACCTGACTGGTACTCCAACAACTTTTGCCGCGTACCTGGTCTGGTACAAACTTAAGAGTCAAGACGTACCTAAGACTACTTCCGAGTCATGCGTTTATATACCTACGTATAGTTTACTGGTCCAAAAGCAAAAAATGTATGGGCAATTTTGTGCAAATGAATCTTTAATTATGGTATTTGTACAACATAATATAACAGTTTTCAAAGCGTCGACGTTGTGACTCGAATGCCATCGCTCATTTACAGTGGATTTACCGAAGGTGCTAACAGTCTGACCTCAGCTACATACAGTGTAGTTTTCCTCATTGGGTCTAAAAAATACCTGTGGCTGTGGTTCCGGTTTCATATCGCGAAAAAATTAGGGTAGGTAGGTCGGAAATAAATTTTTTTTTTAAATATTTTTTTCATGGTTTTGGCATTATCGGTGTTTGACGATAACGATTTTAAAATCAATCACCCGAGCGATTTTTTTTTCAGTCGGACGATGACGATAAATTTTTTGAACAAGCGCAAAGATAATCTTTTGGCTTTTTTCATCCCAAAATATGTCGGATGCGTGGAATTTACATGTACAGCTAAAGTTCTTCACGGTTTTGAATACTTTGGCAGGTCTGCTAGTTATTGCTAGAAGGAAAATGTAAGTACGCGAATAGCAAATTTCCGCGTACCTATGTGGTACTTGCCTAAAAACAAAGAAGTACCAGACCATAAATTTGGCGTACCTCCGGTACGTTGGTACGCGAATTATCGCACCCTGGGTCAATCACTAAAGCGTCATAGCAACATGGGTTTGTGTCTCAACCGTGGTCGAAGGTGTCTACAGACCTTTGTACGCTGAACAGAAGAGTTTTATTTGTAATCTGTGATTCGTTCAGCAACTACAGTACATCAAGCTGGCGCCGAATGGTCATACATGGGTACTATAGCGCGAAGAAAGCAACGCCAACGACATTACTACGACCGTTCCAGATAAGACGGTGCTTATTATAACATTTCATGAATGATTACATATTGAAATATATAGTTCAGTGTTGAAAAGCAGGTAGAGGCCCTGTATTTTGCGGGGTGATTGCGGGTTAACGCGTACGAGGCCTACGTTAGCCCGCAACCAGCCCGCAAAAGACAGGGCCTTTGCCTGCTCTTCAACACTGAACTATACATTCATATATAATGTTATAGTAAGACTCAGGGTGGGCTCCCTGTGACGCAACTGGTGGAGCTCTTTCGCGTGCACTGAAATGATTGGCAACGTGAGCTACTGTATACTTGGAGGCGTATATGGCAAGCCAAGGTCTATAAACTGGCTCAGAAATAAGCAGAGACCTGTAGCAGTGCACGTTGCAAATATAATATTTACAGTATTTTACCTTCTCCATTTTTACTTCATTTATTTATTTATTTAAGATTTTATTTATTTAATATGATTTGTCGCAATAAGAAGGTAACAGCAGCGAACAGGCGGCAGAAACAAGACAGATGTCCCTACCTCTTACATTAAAAAGGGGGATGTTATAATTGATATCTAAAATATATACAGAATATAATAGTACAACACTTGGTAGTATTAAGTTTTATTATATGGCTTTTCAAAATTCTCTATTCTGATTGGTTGACAAGCGGTCCGTAAAAACCCATATCCGGACCGTGGTCCGTATTTTCCGTATCTGGACCGGTGTCCCGGATGTCGTTTATCTGGCGGGAAATTTTTGCTTTGCAAACAGAAAAATTTTTTGCTTTTTAATTTTCCAATTGTGTGTCATTAAAATTTACAGATAAAAATTTCAAACAACCAAATTATTTTTGATTGAGCATGCATGCCTACCGTATATTGTTACCCAGTGAAACTGACGATAGGCGATTTAATTCGCGCGAAAAGCATATGCTCACAAACTCACTTCAGCCATATAATAAACCGATTATTGACCTCGCTTGTTCGGTCTGTACTGTGAAATATCAGACCTCTGTTTTTTGCATGAACCTCGCTCCTTCGTCGCTCGGTCCATACTAAAAAACCTCGGTCTGATATTTCACAGTACAGACCTCACGCTCGGTCAATAAGCCGTTATTATATGGGAGTGTACAGTATATTAAATTTCTAGTTTTTTTGTCTGCATATAGACAATGTTACTCACTTTTGTCTGCATATAGGTCAATGTGACTTCTAAAAAGATTAAGACTAGTTACTCTTTAAATTAATAGTCTTTGGGCAATTTGTTCCCCAAAGTATGACTACCTGTACTCTACGAACACCCAACATATAATATATTAAGAACAGAAGCGTGAAACAACGCGAATCATACACTCACCTTACAGTACTTGTTTAGAAATGTGCGAACAGACATTGATAGCACAAAACCTACGAAAATATTACTGAACATCTACTACTATTTTCTTTGATTTTTAAAGATATCACAGCACATGGAACAGTAATATGCAGTATATTTCAATATTTGTGATAAATGTTTTACGTTTATTTGATTGTTTTTTCATACAGTTAGAAAATGCACAAGAATCATGTCAGCGGTTTCTGGACCCTCCTTATGATGAAATGTTTGCTGCACATCTCAGGTTTATATATTCAACATTCGTTCCTGATTGTCAGTATCCGGTAGCTCAGTAACTGTCACATGATTTCAGCTTCTGGAACAATTATTATTTGTACCAAAGCTCGGTGCAAACTCCCAGCGCAATCGGTAAAGTCCAATGCAATCCAATGCAGGTCAGTCATATGCAGTTTATTGCAGTCTATGCAATGCAGTCCAATTCAGTACAATACAGTCCAATTCAGTACAATACAGTCCAATGCAATGCAATGCAGTGCAGTCCAATGTAATGCAGTCCAGTCCAATGCATTGCAGTCCAACCAGTGCAATTAAATACATTGCAGTCCAAAGCAGTGCAGTCCAGTGAAGTGCAGTATGCAGTCCAATGCAGTTCAGGGCAGTGCAGTATAGCGTGTAGAGGCCGGTTGTACATCGGTAACGAAGGAGTTTATTATTCTGATTTGAAATACCAGAAAGTGACGTAATATATGGTGATTTAAAGTGACGATTACAAATACAGTAACAAACCAGTGAATCAGTATTTGAAGGAAAATTCAATGCGAATTCGAAAGTTGACTGAGTTTGTGGAGGTTTATACCCGTGATATGAAAACATGATATTGTACTCATTTGGATGTACTGTATGGAGTTTTTCTTCTTTTGTTTAGAGCCTTATGGGCCATGAATAAAAAAGATATTACCGAAGCATTCGCTTGTCAAGCAGTCGTAGTTCAAGTATCCTCTGATATTAATAGCAGTATCGTGTTTTATAAATTACTGAAGCATAAATATTATCAAGAACTAGTACCATGTAGATTAACTGAATAACGTACACAACAGTGGCGGACACCTCGAGAAATATTGAGGAGGGGGCAAATTATGTTGCCAACATATGACCATGGTTGATTATTACGGCTTTGTTACACAGTTGGGGGCAGTGTCCGCCACACTGTCTGCTTCAATATTGCTGACATGCAAATTTTCTAGTAAAAACTACGTTCACAAGAGACCAGAGGATCGGAATCGTACGCAAATTCGTCCGGTTCCATTTTCTCACACGGGAATTCGGCAGGTTATCTGCAGTGTTTGTGAATACGTCCCGTGTGAATATATAGGTGAGAGCCAGCCTAGACCTGAGGCCTGTACTCGGCAGGTGGCAGTTGATTTGTAGGATAATCAACTTCTATTTCTCGTTTTGGAGCCCCAGAACGGTAAGAAAAATCAAAAGGTTTAGGAAAGGGTCTAGGCGTGGTGAGAGCCGTGCAAGTGTGAGCACGGTTCCAAACTTGTTTGCTCTCTTAAAGGGAAGCTATAATCTATAATATATAAAAATTTAGGATGTACAGCTATTTCAATTAAGGTTGTCCCCCGAGCAAAGCGGAAAAGTCGAATACGAGCGCAAAGGCTGCTGGGAATCGCTAATAAATTCATTTATTAGCGATTCCCAGCAGTCTTTCGCGCTCGTATTCGACTTTTCCGCTTAGCTCGGGGACAACCTTAATTGAAATAGCTGTATACAAGAGTCATATAGGCAAAACACTATAAAGTCTATAGTCAATCCAAATGTCAATTATCTTTTCATTAATGTTTTGAAATCCTTTGTTAATATCTCCCATTATTCCTGTTTGTGGTGGATGCATTGTCCTCGTATTCAGTTCAGCACCGCGGATTGCGCGGGAGGATACTACAATAATTTGTACAGAGAGCGGGTGGTCTCATAGAAAAGGGAAGAAGGCTTGTTTTATTGAATACGTGAACAATGCTATTGCTAACAGGGTAATGAGGAATATTATCAGAGATTTTAAAACGTGAATAAAACGATAATCGCATGGCATCAGAACGAACTCTTTTATAATTTTAGGGTTAGGGTCAGATTTCCCCTAGATAGTTGATTATCATCTATTTGTGCACTTTTGACAAGTGATGCTATTCATCTATTTATCCCAGAGACTGTGCTTTAAGCCTAATTTTTATGTATTATAAAATACATCGATTCAATTTTAGCTAAAGTGTAAGAAAATTTGCATGTTATTAATTTTCAAGTGGACGAACGTTTCGTCCATATAAATCCTGATGATGAGCGCTTATAGTCCGAAGGTCCAAAATTTTAAATAAAGTTTTTTTTCTGTCAATTTTCACATTGACCCAGCAAAAAATTTCGTACATATTAAACAAACACCTAAATACAATAGAAGGGCAGGGAATCGTAACATGGCATTTGAAAAGGTAAATTTCCTTAACTTTTTGAAGGCTTTCATAAAAGCATTTCAAGCCCAAAAAGATGAAAATTGGTACGTTTTTTCAAAATTGTACTGTATATATATTTTGTATTTCACCAGAGGTGTAGAGCTACAAAATTTTCCAACATAACTATGACCATTAACAAATGTTTTATGTGGCATTGTGACCGACTAAGTAAGGAATGACTCTTGCGTGTGTATACCAAAGGCTTTTCCGCGCTCGCGGAAGAAAAACACGCAAAGGCGGGAAAATATGGTGTTTCTTCATCGTGGAATAACCTCCGGCACCTGCAGTAAGGAATGTGTAATATGTAAACGGTACATTTGTCGACGTAGCCAATTGTTTCTGTATTTCCTGTTATACAGGTCTCTTCCAATCATGAAATGCGTTGTCTTAGATCTGCGATTATTAGCCTTACAAGTAAGTTACAATTACATGTATATTTAACATTAAGGGGCCGGTTGTATAAAAAGGTAGTTAAGGTGATTCATCAGTTTTGCATTGCGCACTTTTACTACGCATATTTAATAACAAATTCTAGCTAATATTTTGCTAATATATGTAGTCGAACTGCAATGTAAAGTGATAAAGAAAGAGTAAGGGCAAAGAGAAAAACACTCTGCATTGATTAAGCGTGCTTCAGGAAATATACCTTCAAAAATGACAGAACTCTGGCTAGTGCTCCCTGTGTAATTAACACGAACACATCATGTTTCCGTGACCCTACTTTTTATTTTATATTTTTGTTCTTCTATACGTTTTACGTGTCATGTCAGAAAATAAGAGACAAGTCATTTCTACAACTTATAATATTTTACATTTTTCGCGCATACATCGCAAAATAACATGTCTGAGAAAACGGGAAAGGACATGGCACCACGACAATGCACGTCGATGGATTTTGATTCGCTAGAATACCATGTTTTCTTGTAGCTATATAATCATTAGATAGACTTTTTTAGTAGGATCCTTCCTAAAAAATTCAATATGTAACATGGCGCCATCTTGACCCTTTTATGAGTCACCGAACTCGTTTCAAAGATATGACAGGTGCAATATGCCAATATTGCACCTGTCATATCTTTGAAACGAGTTCGGTGACCCCAACCTTTTTTTCTGTTTTTACTATGAGTATATCATAAACTTCACCCCTGGGAAGTTTCAGTCAAAATTCTCATTTCCAGAACAATTACTGATGAATCACCTTAAAGTTAACTACATGCAGTCAGTGCGAAAATTCACCAATCATAATTGCGTATTTTGAGTTAACTACTATTTAACTACAAAATAGTTAAGTACAGTAGTTAAGAGTTAAAGTAGTTAAAAAATTTTATCCACGCATTTATTCTTAGTATTCTTCGAGGTCTGAACTAAAAATAATATTCGCTGATGATACGGCTTATGTCGGCTTTGCAATGCTAGACATGATTGACTGATTACAGTCAAATTACAATAACCTTTCCGCTTCTGTACTGTAATCTGTTGGAATTTTCTGTAAATTCGGTTCTGTTTTTCTGTAGCGGTTACCAAATATGAGAAAATATGGCGACAAAATTTACTTTCCTTTGTTTTTATATGATAATTTGTAGCAAATTCAGATTCACTGCATTTTAACACATGAAAGGTGCGAAATTGTATCACGCGGTATTTGTCTATATAGAAATCGGTAACTGTTACAGTAATACAGAACCGAAATTAGAGAAAATGTCAACAGACTGCGGAAGTGGAAAGGTTCTTGTATTTTGACTGTAAAAATAACCCATGCAGGAAGCTATTATTTGTAAGCTATTGCTTGCAAAGTAATAAACAACATATCGAGCAACACTTTCGTCACGTATATGGTTGTGCTAATAACGTCAGCATTTTTGAAAACCTTTTCGCCCTTCCACACTAATCCGAAGCGCCTCCATTTCCAAAGTCTTCACTTTCAAAGCCATTGCCGAAGAGCTCCGTTTTCATGAATGAATTAGGTATAACCGTTTTTCATCTCAGCAGCATGAAATTCATATGTTATTGTTCATATACAGCCTCATATCTACAGTATTCCCGTAAACTGTCCAAGTAGCAAACTTACTATTTACGCTATTGTTGATCTAGGCAGACGAACAGCTATCAAAATCAGGGCAAAGAAAGGCAGGGGAGTCACTAGAACGTGCCGCAGAAGTTATGATGGGATGTTTTAGAGTCTGTGCTGCAGACAGGTATAATTATGCAGACAAGCCGATAAAATCTTATCCACACATATAAAAGTCTAGTTTCTGATTATCTTGAGGACATTCTTATTTATTGAAATAAAGTCGTAATCCTATCAAAGCCTGTATTTGTATGGGGCTGTTAACCAGGGCCGCCGAGAGCTTGGCGGGGGCCTGGGGCAAATTTTTTTTAGGGTCCCCTTTTTAAAAATTGACAACAAAAACTTTCTCCCCCTCCACCCCCCCCCGTCGACAACTTTTTAGGGAAAAAAATTTTCCGGGCGAGTACGTTGTAATTACTTTCCAGCGACTTTACCTCAATTTTTCATACAAAATTTCGGTACTTTGCCCCAAAAAAACACAAATATCTTGCCCTTTGCGCGGAATGTTTCAACCAAAAAAATTACTGGGGCCCAACAAAAAAATTCTAGCCCACTATTTTGCATCGGTGACCATGACTTGGTTACAACACCTACAATGAAATGGAAAGCTCGAACCATGCGGGCCTAACTATATACTCTCTCAATTATGTCTATAATTAATTACTTTAGTCGTGCGGCAAAAGAGGTTTCGAAGAAATGGGGAATGCTCGCGTTGGTTAACCATCTTTTTAAGATTTATTTCAAGGTACGTTTCTGAGGAATAGTATTAATGTAAAACCCACATCACGGAACGGCTAGGAGAGAATCTAGCACAAAAACAGCATAGAAGAATATCTTGCACACGTTTTGCTGAGGGTAATCTATATGGAAAATGTCATTTGTATAATTAAAAAATTTGAAAAATTAGATAGGTTCGGATTTGACTTCAATGCACTACCACTAACGCCCCGCCCCGTTTGATGGTGGCGTGTATATTGTTACCACGGATTTTAAAGAAGGACGACGTTGCTCGATATATTAGAGAAATGTGATACCACGGATTTTAAAGAAGGACGACGTTGCTCAATATATTAGAGAAATGTGAATTAGCTTAATACAAGTAAATGTTTTCGTGTATTTTCATGACTTTGACAAGGTCCACTAACCCACTAATTTCGTATTCCATGTGAAATTAGCGGGCTTCGCTAATCAATTTTAGCATCTCGATTACACAAGATGCCATTCAGATTTTTACCAAAAAATTACTGAATTTTTAAAATCTCTAAAAATGTTACCAAAATTTTACTAAACTTTTCCCAAAATTGACGAAATTTTATCAAATCTGATCACACTTGTCTTAGTACGCATTGGATTGGTTAATCGGGTAGATTTAACGCATCTGATTGGTTAATGGTAGCGGTAGTGGAAGTCAAAAGCTGAGCCTCCCTAATCGCTGGCCACAGAACAAAGATCATGTCTGTTGTTACCTAAACGCCCATCCCTTAAAAGTTCAATGGTTTTTCAGAGGGGGGAGGGAGGCACTGGGGGCAATTTGTCCCGGGCCCCCCGTTTAAAGGGGGCCCCCAAATTTGCAAAATTAAAAAAAAAATTTCGAACGTTTTTTTATATAAATAATGGTATGAGAAACTGAAATTTTCTAAACCAAAATTTTACATAAATTGATAAAAAAAAGGGTTTTACCCATGTTGTGACAGGAATTTGTCCGGAAAAAATTTTTTTGAACGTGTTTTAGTCATGTTCGACCAAAAAAATTTTTTGACCCTTATTTTTAATGTCCGGAAAAATTTTTCTCCCCCTCCCCTCCCCCCCCCGCTCGCCAACATTTTCGGGAAAAATAGGGCCCCCCGAAACAAAAATTTGCCCCGGGCCCCCGAATTTCTCTGATAGGCCCTGGTTGCCCCGAACTGAAGACATTGTTCCTTCATGGTGTTGTAAAATATATTTTAGACAAACCGAATTCATCTTTGCAAGCCATTAATACGAGCTATCGACAGTTTGGCAATAAAAGATCACTTCGAAATATCAAATCAAGTTACATACAGGTAAATGTCATGTGTGGAACTAAAATTTTAAATAGATTTTCGCTGTCCAGCTTTATTCATTAAAGGAATCAATTTTGGCATCATATACATTGAAGTTGGTCTCGAAAAAGACCATCCTTAAAACGCAATAGTATGACAAAAGGCCTTGTCACACTATTATGAGAGAAACGTATGGGAAGCGTATGAAAATTAATGTTCATGCGCACAAAAATTCCTTGAAATGCCAGCGTATGAGTACCGTACATCTGGCGTACCTCTAGCGTATTCAGCTTGTGCCTAGAGTATGCTTATCGTATAAACCATACGTCCGAATACGCACAAAATTTTTAAGCACGCTTAAGAAAATGTTTCTGTCTCGCCGGGCCTCGCCGTATGCTATACCGTTTGCGACTGTGCTTGAAACGTATACAACCTATGCCTAACGTAGCCCTAGCGTATGTCGGCGTATACCAACGTATGAGTGATACTTTCCATACGCTGGTATACGCTAGTACGATATGCAATAGTGTGACAGGGCCTTTAACAAGGAACTGAGACCAATATCACTGACGTCTACAGTACCTTATCTAAAATCGCGGAAGGGGTTGTAATCGATCACGAACTGAAGCCTAAGATATTACCGAAAATAGACTCCAATCAACTTGGATTTATTCCAAATTCATGTACAACTCATACAATTATCTCAATGCTGCATAGGCTAAGCTGGTTGGCCGCGACAGACGGGACAGGTTCTACAGTGAAAATTGCCCTTCTAGATTACAGGAAGGCTTTTGACATGGTGGACCATAACCTTCTTATAGCAAAACATGTTAGCTATATATGGAATTAGATCATCAGTCATCAACTGGATTATCGACTTCTTACGTATGTGTACCCAAAGAGTTAAAGTGAATTATGAATGCCATTCCAATGTACTGCAAGTCCAGACTGGGGTACCCCAAGGGACCAAATTGGCACCTTGCTTGTTTCTCGTTGTGATTAACGATTTGAGCGTTTCAGAAGATTCAACAAATAAGATATTGAAATTCGCAGATGAGTCCACTTTTTCGGAGGTTATCCCCAGGACTGAAAATGGTCATTTACAAGATACAGTTGATCATGTGGCTAATTGGTCAAATAATAATAAATTTCAGTTAAACCCTGCAAAATGCAAAGAACTTAGAATAAAGTTTACTAAAGACACTTGCAGAGACGATCCAATCAAAGTAAATGACCAGCACTTTGAAGTGGTAACATCTGCGAAAATCTTAGGAGTGACTATTACTGATGCCCTAAAGTGGAAAGCCCATGTAGCAAATATTCTATTGACAGCTTCAAAGCGATTTTATCTTCTGAAACAATTAAAACGTGCGGACGTTGCCAAGTGGTTAGCGCACTTGCCTTTCACCTCTGAGGCTGCAGGTTCGAATCTCACTAAGTACCTTCTCAGTGCGACTCGAACCCAGTCCCCATGTGAAAAGAGTAAAAGTCAACGCTCTGCCGAACGCCGTGGGTTTTCCCCGGGTACTCCGGTTTCCTCCCACAGGGAAAAGTTGACAGGGTGGGTTAGGTAAAAAGGGCCCACAGTAATTGGCATATGCTGTTGTGGTGACCCTGCCCTAGTTGGCGAAGCTAATAAAAACAAATAATATCTCCTTGACCAAATTTTACTGCGCCTGTATTAGATCTGTCCTCGAATATGGATGTCAGGCTTTCCACTCAAGCCTCCTTAGTTATCTATCAAAAGAAATCGAACAAATTCAGAAAAGAGCGCTAGAAATAATTTATCCATATACATGGATTACGGAGAAGCGTTGATGATGGAGAACCTAGAAAGACTAAAGGGCCGTAGAGAGAGAGAGAGACAGTTATGCGAAAAACTGTTTCGTGAAATTGAAGAAAATGAAGATCATAAATTGCATGTACTTTTACCAGAAACGAATAAGGCTGTTCATAATTTCAGAACAATTAGGAAATATAACCTCCCAAAGATTAGAACTAATAGATTTAAGGATTTTTTATTCTTGAGCTTAATTTTTATATGAAGTGTCCATTTTTATTATTTCTACAGGGTGTATCGAAAAAAACTGAACAGATTTGAAATTGCTCTCAATTTCGCAAAACACCGATTTGTATCCGGGTTTTTATAGATATGGCTTCTTCGGGTACTTAGAATGTAGAATAATGAAAAAAAATTCTTGAACTCAAATATTGTGAACCAGGGGGGTGTGTCTTTTCCAACAAAATAAAAATGGCTTGCGCACAAAATTTAAAAGCTGTAATCATATTTTGAGTTAATAGATGGAAAATTTGTCGGGTTTTTCATTACTGTACAAAATTTCAGACAATTTGGTTTAGTTTAAGCCGTTTAACTATTCACGCAAAGTTACATTTTTCCTAAAAATCAGCTATTTGCATGCTTAATTAATGCATTTCCTAATTTGCATATGTTAGCAATATGCAAATTAGGTAAATGCTTAATTAAGCATGCGAAAGGCTGATTTTTTAGAATAAAATGAATAGTTAAACGGCTTAAACTAAACCAAATTGTCTGAAATTTTGTACAGTAATTAAAAACCAAACAAAGTTTCCATCTATTAACTCGAAATATGATTAAAGCTTTTAAATTTTGTGCGCGAGTCATTTGTAGTTTGTTGGAAAAGACACCCCCCCCCCCTGGTTCACCAAATTTGAGTTTGAGAATTTTTTTTCATTATTCTACATTATAAGTACCCAAAGAAGCTATATATATAAAAAACTGGATACAAATAGGTGTTTTGCGAAATTGAGAGCGATTTCAAATCTGTTCAGTTTTTTTTGATACACTGCACCCTGTATATATCCAATCAATTGTAATTCAGTATTTTCACTTTGATATATCATTTAACCTTTCAGATGGGAAGGTGCATGACGTTTCAGGGGAGGCGCAAAAAATCTCCAGAGAGGTGCAAATAATCTCAGGGGAAGTGCAAAACGATCGTGGGGAGGTACGCACCTCCCGATACCTCCCCTCAAAATCCGGCCATGCTATATATAAGTTCTTTTAATTAAATGTGTTTTAGGTACTATGTTGGAAGAAAGGCAATGTTTGACAACGATCTAAAACTTGGTAATACATAGTTGCTTTATAATTTTCCACCCAAATTATGTACCTTGCAATGTAGTACAGCTACGTACAGTATACCAGTTTTTTCAATCTTGTTGCAAACTGCATTAAACAACCAATCATTGACAAATAGATATTGAAACGATGCAATAAAAGAACATCAAACACTAAATCTGGAGCATGCATACAAACGATATCACCTCCCCCAACCAATCGTGATGTAGTTCTGCTAAGCTGCTCAATCGTAGTCATTGCTTTCATTAGAGACCTTACGATTTAACGGCAACGCGACGGCAACGGCTACCAATACAATAAATCATTGAAAAGAATTGAATAATTACAATATATGAATAATTTAGACATTTTCCTCGCTCTGTTTACAACGCCAAATCACAGATTTTCACGTCTTGATACAACGGCTGCATTTCAAGCCGCAACAATTACTGCAACTTCAAACTGGGTTCAGTAGAACTCTTCCCAGACATAAAACCCATGTCTTCAACTTCTAAGACTGTATTAAATTCATACGATTGATAATATACGACGAATTATCTTTACTACCATTTATTTGAAGGAGTTTGTTTTGGCCATCTTCGTCCTAAAATCGTATAAGGTCTCTAATAGAGAGCTCAAGCAAGCGACGTTTTAGGTTCACGAACGCCAACCAGAAGTCTATCGAGCTTCAGCTGTTAAGTAAACGGAAATTACAGCAAGGTGCAGTCCTCGATACTGAATTTAACATTTTGATATTTAGCCGAAGAGTATTTGGACTTTGCTTTCCATCATTGTCATAGAAGCAGTATGAAAAATAAGCGGTATGGTTTTGGCATGTGTAACAGCTCTCTTGTGATATTTTGAATGTAAAGGCCTTAGAGAAATAAGTAGTTGTGATATCTTTTTCAGATTGGTGTTAATTTACCTTGTTCCAGTTAAAATGCTTGCGGTAAGTTTGCTTTTCTAAACTTGTGCCTAAACAAACTTACCCTGGCACAGAACATATATAATTATGCGACATGATTGTTGAAAAATGCTGTTCTGTCGTCATATGAAAGTTTTGTTTATTAATTAAGCGAGATCGCCTGGCAATTTGTAAGTTTGTCGAGAAAAATGTCAATTAAGGTTTTTAATGATCACCTATTGTTGTTTAATGTATTTATTCGTGCTTCTAGGGTCGACTACCTCCAGATGAAATTCTTGAGAAATACGACTTGAAGCAATACAGTGACATTGTTCGAGCTGTTAGGTTGTAGAACAGTTTATTAATTTCTTACTTTAAGGGAGGGGAGGGGGCGTTTATTGGATGAGGGACGTCTATTACTGAGGGGTGTTTATTCTTATATACGGCAAATTTAAGCTTGTCAAACAACACTTTCTGACAATTTGCAGAGTCAATGCTGCGCAGAGTCAGCTTTCATAGCTCTTACATGACATTGCATTAAATATAATAAACGGCCATGTAGGTATTTGTTTATATACAACTTTCCTCTTACATAGCAACCGACTTTCGTTTCTACCTACTAGCATTGCCTTCCTCCGTACTACCTGTACAGTGTGAACAACTATGCACCATCCTACTCTGACTCATACCCATGCACGCAGTCAAATATATCTGTTTTACATTATAGAACTGGTAATCTGCTGTTGCTAAACAGTACACTAGAAAAACACGAGGTTCGTGCAATTCGATTTCGCTTTTTTATTATACAATTTTTTTTTATTATCTGGCGGACATGAATTATATACCTATATATTTGTTCAGTTCTTAAGGCCTGATTCCACGGACGCTTTCTTCGGCGAAATGCGACAAATTTCGCGCGAAATGAATTAGGTGCACGCGCAGTAAAGATAATTTAGGCTTCGCGAGAAAAAAATTCGCTTCACCAGTGAGTAGAAGTCAGTTCTACTCACTGCGAAAGCGGAAAAAGTGGGACAATTCAATAGAATCGCTCATGTGCAAGGCCTTTAAAGGGACTCCTGGCCAAATTTAAGAGGGGCAAATTTCCTGGAACACCTCTTCTTTCCCCGCCTCGTAGTTATTATGTATTAAAATGAACTCGTGATTACAAAATATGCAATAATGACTTCATTGATGCAATATGAAAATAAATTATTGCACGATATGACGTCATTGACGCACTGTTGCAATATGAAAAGTGAGGTATAAGACTGCGATGAACATGGTGGACATTTGCTTGAGGCAATCTCTCCCCAGATTTCTTAGTCCAGCGCGGCAAGCATTGTGGGCGCAGTCCAATGGGTGGCGTCTCTAATAATTCTAATAAAGTCAATATTAAGCAATTCATAGTGTCGACCAATCTCGTACCCAGAGCCATCTCAACGATGGAGCCATCTCAACGATGGAGCCATCTCAACGATGGAGCCATCTCAACGATGGAGCCATCTCAACGATGGAGCCATCTCAACGATGGAGCCATCTCAACGATGGAGCCATCTCAACGATGGCTCTGGGTACGAGATTGAGTGTCGACTGCATGCGTATCCAAATGACGCATTATGTCGGGATAAAATTGCAGTTGCAACTTCATGCTAAACGATGTGATTATTTTTTAGGCGTTTTTCATAACATATGGAGTGTTTTTAATATTGGAGAAATTAAAACTTATCACATATAGAAACCTTTTTAAAAAAGTGTAAGTATTTTGCAAGCTAAAATAATTGATCTATTAACCATGCAATCGCGATATGGACGTTGGTTTCAAGACAATGATACGATGCTGCCTCGCAGTTCGTGAGCCATCTTGAACAGCGAGGCAAACCGACAAATACAATGGTAAAAACATTGCCCTGTTCCCAGTTGGAATACTTGTCCCTCGGGTAATGGTAATGTTGCTTTATGTTTGCCCATATCGTTTCCCCCACTTGATAAGATGGTGCCGCGCGAACCCCGCGAAAAGGCATATTTCATTCGCGTTTTGTTCATGAACTAATAAAATTGAGAATTGTCTTCTCTCTAGATATATTTTACTGAAGACACATCAGATTCCACTGCCGGCGTTTGTTTCAGCACTGCACTTTTTACAGGTATATGCCTACACGCAAGTAACATAGACTAAGAGTATACTTCAATGATGGATTCTTGCACTTCACTTGGTGGAATTAATGTTAGAATGTTAGGGTTTGTAATCCAAGTGAGAATATATACATTTTAAGACCTAACCAGGAACGACTGCGAAAAATGCAGCACAAGGTCCTCTGGTAGGAATTGAACCTACGGCCCTGCGATTCCGGTGCAGCGCTCTAACCAACTGAGCTACAGAGGCCAGCTGTTAAGCTGTAACCTTAAGTTCATGTATATATAGGTAATCGGGTGTGCGGGTTGTGATAAGGTGGACTTCAATGATGGATTCTTGCACTTCACTTGGTGGAATTAATGTTAGAATGTTAGGGTTTGTAATCCAAGTGAGAATATATACATTTTAAGACCTTGTGCTTTTAATATATACATTTTAGGACCTTGTGCTGCATTTTTCGCAGTCGTTCCTGGTTAGGTCTTAAAATGTATATATTCTCACTTGGATTACAAACCCTAAGAGTATACTGCATTTTTTTCATCATGTTATCGTCAATGATGCTTTAACATCACGTGCAGTTTTCCACAAAATAAATAGATTATTCTTATGCCGTACAAAGTATTATTATTTCTCATCATTACAAAATGCTATTCCTGAGATCCTAGCAGTATGTTTTGCAAAATATTTCAAATTGCACGCCGAGCACTGAAGCTAACTGCGAGGTCCAGCCCGAATTTAAGATGTTGAATTGAAATGATATCCCAGTATCCGAAATCATTTCCAGAAATTTAGTGAATTAATGAATTGAATAAGTTTGATTCAGTCCAATAGAACTTGGATCAAATATATTTCACCAGGTAAAGCAATCCGGTTGGTTAAATTCCTCATGAATTATTAATAACTATGAGATGCTGCCGGGTTTCCATGTATCCTACATTGAAGCGCATATATACTGGCACAATATGAAAACAAATTGGTTAAATAAACCATAAATTAGCCTTTTCACGAAGGCTAGACTTGGTTCAAGTCCGTCTCTCAAGGGGTTGAAAATAGCGATGCACGCGAGCGGTCAAAAAGGATTTGAAGTCTTGAACCAAGTCTACACGAAGGCAAATATCCGTCATTTTGGGGTACTGTCTTCCCTCGTGAAATGATCTAGTCAATTAAAACAATGTAAAAAGTGATTTTTAATGTTGTAACTGTACATTTACCATTATACATACAACTACAGTTATAAGAAGACACATTTCGCGGTGCTAAAAAAATGGCGGGTAAACCGAGCGTGCATGGGATTCAAAATATGATTCAGATTCAAAATACTGAAAGTATGAGATCTCATGCAAGAATTTTTGTATGTTCAGATTGATGACATGGATGTGATTGAAGTCCAGTGCATTGTTGCCAATCTGATATTCGAGGTAGGGTAATTGTCGAAAGAGTGTCGTTTACTCACTGCAATTTGTCAGACCGATTTCTGGTTTTCTTAGACCTTAAAGGTTACAAAACCTACCATCAGATGTAGTGAGAATAACGCGTCTGAAGTTTAGAACCTTTAACTAGTTATTGGTGTGATAATTTTGTTATTGTGTGAGACGAGAGAAAAAAGTATTCCCGGATGAAACATCAAACGTGCTCGGAAAGAGGAGAATTTAGTGGCACTGGTGCATGTTTACGGCAGACATTCGAACAACATGCACCTGTATGTCTAAAATTATACTGGCTCAGCTGCTTGTCAAAAGGATCCTAGCCTTCCTGTTCTACTCCACTAAACACCGCAGGTTCTCTCCAGGTACAGTAATCCAATCTGGATCTCTATGACTCTATATATAGTATAGTGTACCTGAACATAAGAAAAACACATGTATAAAGAGATCTTATCAACAATAAATTTCTTTCTTTTATTTTATCACAGGGTTATATCAAAGGATATATTTCTCATCAACACCAAAAGCTGGTTGTGAGCAAACAAAATCCTTTCCCATCATTAACTTCGTTTCTCTAGCGAGGCCTGAAAAGGAACATTTTTACGAGGTGTTGACACAGAGTGGGTTTAAAACTGGATGATTTCCTTCTGATGCAGAATACTTCCTGGTTTGTGAAGAGAAACTTGTAAAGAGGAAATTTGTCAAGAAACTTGGGACGAAAAGAAAATGAAATGAAGGATCAAGACTTAAAACGATGCAGTGTTTTGTTTGTGCTTCAACAAGGGAGAGAAAGTTCCCCTTTCTCAATGGAGAACTTTTCATCATCATTATCTAATAGATTGTCTCAGAAATTACTTAGCACGTGGGGACTGTAGTATTTACGTCTACACAGGACATTCATATTTGCACATTACTACTGGGGTGTGAAACTCACATGGTGAGAATGACGACACCTCAAGGCCCATTTCAACGCACCCTTGTTACCCAATACCATCCTACGTTGTTAAAATAATGTTCTATAAATGTTCGCACGCCTTCAGTTGTACATTCATTTCACAGTTTATAGGAATAACTATACGCTCATAATATCTATAGAGTTGGCTTTTCAAGCTGCTGCATAGTGAATCTATATATATTTTTGGAAGAATTTTTCAAAATATTTTCTAGTGGTTTATACTTGAGACTTTTTTTCATGATTTGGTATGCTTAGTATTTTTTTAAATATTGTAACTGCCTCCTTAATTCAGTGACAAAAATCTTTAAAGCCTCAACCTAAAAGTACAAATTAGTACAAATTCTATGTCTTTCCCCTTCCACACCTAAACACATAAGCCCCCGTCTGACTCTTCCACCATAGTTGTGCCCCATAATCACGATTCATCGATCAAGTTGAACTGCGTCCTTCGCAATTCAGCTTAGTTCAGCTGTTAGTAAGGATGATTAGCAGATCTCCGGATCCACTTACATACCTACCTAAATATTGTTCGAAAGGATGACTGGTGTGTTGTGCATGCATGGGAGCTCTGACTTAGCCAAAAAAAAACCAAATATATATATATATATATATATATATATATATATATATATATATATATATATATATATATATATATATATATATATATATATATATATATATGAGGCGACCAGTGGAATACATGATAGTTTTGGAGTTGAAGCTGGTCTAAAATTCTTTTTAAAATACTAGATCTGTACAATAAAAAGTCTAAAAAAGTTCTAAATTTTCGGTTGCTAACTGCAACCTTCATCAGAGTACTAAGAGCAGTTCGGATAGTTCTATATATAAGATGTACTCTATCAATTAAATGTTATAATGATTCGAAATCCCGACTCATGTTGGTCAGTTTGAAAGAGCAGTCAAAAACTGAACTGGCTCAGTTATTTACATAGGGCATTGATGAATTTTGGGTATTGGATATTGATAGTCTTCTGAATAAATAAGGTATTTTACAGTTCAAACAAAAATATAATTTTCAATTTAAGATGTTTGTCCTCCCACATGCATAACTAGCAAAATATTTTAATTTTATTCGTTCCATCTTGTCTGGATTTTAATTGAAAAATATTAATAGGCGCTTAAAAATTCTGAGATTGAAACAATACCGTAAAAGTATTAAAGTTTTGGATTCTTTTAAAACACTAAATGTCGATTATTACACTTTTAGAGTCATGCATGAAAGTAGAAATTTCTCACATGCTAACCGGGAAGGGTCGGCTATTAATACCTTCAATATATTATTTCCCTAGACTCTGGCTCTGCTTTCTTATACCGGAGTTTGTTTAATTAAGGGCTTTGCAATGATATCGTTGTTAATACAACCTTAGGATTTCGCCCCGTCCAAATATTTTAAAATTCTATGAGAAACCCTTTTATTTCTGTTTTTCTCCATCCAACAACAACTAGACCATGGAGACATTTATTTTTCCAATCACAGTTTACAATTTTCAAGCCGATTGAGCAAATGCAGATGAATTATGGATCCAGTAATTCTGTAACAAGAAAATAAATCGCATCAAGTTATGATCAAAATGGGGGGGGGGGGTGAGGTGCTTCCATGGGTGAAATTAGTCCAACCGTGGACCTGTATAGTAACCAGATATCGTGAATTTACATTTTAAGAAAGATGATAGATCAATTGGCAATTGCCATGTTATTCTACTTTCATTTCCTTTCTGAATTTGTTTCTTTGCTATTGACTAGGCGGTTTTGAAACAAAATTTTCAAACTTCAAACAAATTTGGCCAGGTTGCTCATAACAAATAATTCTGTAAAGTTTATAGGGTAAAAAGATACTGAGAACGAACTCTACAAAATGAACTTAGAATTCAGCATGAGAATAGATCAATTGCAGTGTTGCACAATAACATCAATATTTGTTAAAATGTCTTCTTCTCCTTGGTAAAAATGTATTGATTTTAACTTATTACCATTTACCTTATTACTACCGACTCATGAATTTACTGTGTTTAACAGGTGTATTTGTAGTTAGAAAATTGTATCTAAACAATGAATTATTTTTTAATTAGACTCATCTACACATATAGTCAGCTGTTTCAACTAAATGAACACGGTAAGACGACAAGAATTAAATAGTTTGGTTGAGGTGTACAATGCGTCTTTTGGTACATCATTTTTAAACGCCGCCATGATGGATTCACGTCTCCTGCTGTTGAGCGTTTTCTTCTCGCTGTTTTTCAGCTCGCACAGTCAATGGCATACCTCGAACAGGCAAAGATTAAATACTTTTAAAGAAAGTTTCAAAAATAGCCAATCCGATTTAATCATTTTTATCGATGTTTCGGGCAGTGTACGTACATATGGCTTCAGAATGGAAAAGTATTTTGTCACAAGCTTACTGAATGAGTTTAGCGTTGCTTTCTATTCAACGCGTATTGCAATCGTTACATTTGGTGAACGTATTAAAACTAACCTAAATTACATCAATCTTGAATCGACCAGCGTTGAAGACACGACAAAATGTGAATTTAAGAAAATTTTTGAACACCAAGTCACGTTCCGTAATGGGAGAGCCACAAACATGAAGGGCGCGTTCAGAACTGGTTATGATTTGTTGAAAGAAGCCGAAAGCCTTGGTTGGAAAAGAACGAACGTAAACACAGTAGCCATGATGATCACTGATGGTGCTTGGAACATGGGCAATCCTACAAACGAAATCAATCAGTTAAAGAACGGCCAGTTTAATGTTGAGATTTTCTCGGTTGGAGTTGGATATGCTGTACACTCGCAATTACAAACTATTGCCTCAAGTAATGATAAGGTTATTTATGCAAACAATTTCGATCAATTTAAACAACTCGCTCAGTACATCAGAGGAGGTAAGTTGCAATGAGATATATCGTTCATTAAATATGCATGGCTTATAGTATCGAAAAGTAATTGGTTTCGGTTTGGTGAGAATTTTTTCGAAATAAATCAAAAGCTGGATAAATTGTCTCCAAGGGCTTTTAGTTCTGTAACTGTATAGTTGAAAAAGGTTAAATAAACCAAGATTTTCAAAAAAATAGTTTTTAAATTAAAAAAGTTTTAAAAGAGTTTTAAAAAGCAAAAAAAGTTTAAAAAGTTAGATTTTCAAAAAAGTTTAAAAGGTTAGGGTTGGTGGTTATGGGTTAGTGGTTGGGGTTAGGATTGGGATTAGTGTTAGGTGCCGCGAATTTATTATTATGATAAAATTCAAAATGTGCTGCGTATTTATCATAATGTAATGATAAATTCGGACATGTTTAAGAATTTACTCACAGTAAATTCAAAGGTGGAGCTCATGCTGACTGACCCTTCCACCCTAGCAGTGTAGCTTGCTCCGAGACAGACATGAGTCATAAGGTGGCTGCCAGAGGCGGGTCAGGTTGAGCTGCGTCCTTCACAATTCAACGTATCTCTCAGCTGCAAGTAAGGATGATTTCCCACCACTCCCACCCAATTTATAATGCATTGTAAAATTTTAAATTAACTTTGAATGTCACACAAGAAAATGCGTGCAAGTGCAGATAAAACAAACACACAATAACACTCGGTAATAAACTTCAATAACACAGGAAAAGGTACTGTACACAATCTGTAAGGGTCTCACCATGTTTTTTTATTTAATTTCAGACGCCCATGAACGTATCTACTTTAAAGTATCAGATGGCAGATGTTCTACTCGATGTCATAAAGATGCTTTCTGCTCCTGTGGTACTGTGGGTGGAAGATATGTCTGCGCTTGCAATGCTGGATTTTCTGGGAATGGTATCGACTGCCAACGTATGTAGTACTAGTGTGACTTATTTTAGGACAAATATACCCTACCTTTTTGTTGCTGCAAATCTTACTCATAAAATTGTTTTGCTTAAGACTTAAGTCTAATGAAAATTTACTTCAATAATATATAGCCTATCAGCTGAATGTTATATTTACTCAGCGATCATTAATCCCAGTAAGTAAGTACAGCACAAGACTACATGACTAATTTAACATTAAAATCTCCATACATGCAGCCTGTCCACTTGGCTCCTTCAAAGATTTTCCTTCGCCACTGAAATGCACCGGATGTCCAAAAAATTCGAACACTGCTAGAACTGGAAGTACATCCATCAAAGACTGTAGTTGTAAAGTGGGGTATGAGGGAGATCCTGAAAAAAAGATCGAGTGTACAGGTAGGTATGTGGATATGACTGTTTATAACAAAACTATTGTTTTGTCTTGTTTTGGAATATTATGTCGTCTATTCGTATTGCATATTTCCAGTTTATATCTAGTTTGTATATTCACACAGTTTATATTCAACAGCTTAAAACACACCCTCTAAAAGAGGCCATAGTTTGTATGATCGTTTAGACTGGCTTTAGTGTGCACTTATTCATCATACTATGTTAGGAAAATATTTCCTCTCCTGGTACAACTGTTAGGGTAGGGTATAGTTACATAGGTTGGATAACCACTGCCCACACTAACACCAAGATAACGATACGTTGGTATTATTTGCGAGCTACAATATGTTTATTCATTTTGTCGTTTAATCACTGGAAAAGCTGGAAAAAGAGGCGAATTCCTACGTATTGTTCTTTGAGGTCTGACCTAAAATCTTCGCTAATGATACGGTTTGTCACTAGTAGCTTTACAATGCCAAAAACCGTTTCTTCTGTTTAGCTGTGAAATGTCCGCCTATTGCCGCTCCCAAGAATGGTCAAATGTCTGGAGCAAAATGTCACGGATTCTACCAAGCAAAATGTTTCTTCAAATGCAATACTGGTTACTTACGTTATGGTCCACCATACAGAGAATGTTTGTCAAATAAAAAATGGTCGGGACAAAACATTAGATGTGACGGTAATAATAATATGCATTTTAATAGGAATCACTTCAAAACTAGAAACCACGCTTGATCTGCTAGGAGGAGAGGGTGCTGAACAAGCCTTAAACATAAAGTAGGGCGCTAGTATTGATAATTCAATCAATATTGGTTAAAGGAACTTACTACCTGAAAATTATGGCACAAATTCCATGTTTTGAGCAAAGGTTCTTCATCTGGAATGTCTCTCTTGAAAGCTCGCAGTTTTGTTTTGTATTCCGCTACTATCTAATTATCACCACCCGCTAGTTATTTATCAATGACGATGTTGTGTTTTTTAGTTCAACGATGCAATGATATCCCACCACTGCATCATGGCACTGCTAGTTGTAGTGGATCAGCATTTCAAGATACATGCAATTTCCAATGTAATCGTGGCTATGAACTCATTGGCAGCGGCCAAAAGGTTTGTCAAGCTAACGGTCAGTGGACTGGATCGGATGTTGTGAGATGCGAAGGTAAATTATCAATCAAACTCATTAATAATTCATTAATAATTCATGAAAAAGGAAATAAGCACCGTCTGATAGTCTTGACACCACCACTCTAATAAACGTCCATGAATTAAGTCAACTTCCATGTTGAATTTCTCTTTCCTACTGATACTTGTTCGTTGAGAAGTAGTTCCATCCCTCCTTACGGAAACTGACGGACACTTCTCTATAACGGACACTTTTCTATAACGGACACTTTTCTATAACGGACACTTTTCTATAACGGACACTTTTCTATAACGGACACTTTTCTATAACGGACACTTTTCTATAACGGACACTTTTCTATTACGGACACTTTTCTATAACGGACACTTTTCTATAACGGACACTTCTCTATAACGGACACTTTTCTATTACGGACACTTTTCTATAACGGACACTTTTCTATAACGGACACTTTTCTATAACGGACACTTTTCTATTACGGACACTTTTCTATTACGGACACTTTTCTATTACGGACACTTCTCTATTACGGACACTTTTCTATAACGGACACTTCCGACTGTGTCTTACGCTCCATGTCATTCACTAAAGTGATCTAAAACGCCTCAAACGGTGTATTAAAAACTCAGCTAATCCCCTTTTCAACCCATTTTCGGTGTTTCAAATCGCTTTAACAAAGCATTAAGATAATGAAACTGTTCGTTGTAACGTTGAATGATATCTTGTACGTTGTTTGTACTAGAGGTGTGCATCGGATCGGATTGGACGTTTATAATCCGACAATTGCCTAATGTTTAAAATCCGATCCGATCCGAAATTGTCTAATCCGAATCCGATCCGATCCGAGTTTTGATAAAGAATTCCAATCCGATCCGATCCGAAGAACTCTTTAATAAAATAAATTTCTCATTCAAGTTGAAATATTTAAGCAAATAAATATAAAAGCAAGAAATACATGTCAAGAAGCTGACAAAGTGACGTCCAATTGAAGTATCTAACGAATAATGCAGCGACAACTGCGATAATACTTTGATAAATGCATGGATAATTAATTCTTGTGATAATGCGAGGATAATTAAATAATTTTATTTCGGATATCGAAGTCCGATCCGACTACGAAACAACTTTATCAATCCGGTCCGAAATGTATATTTTGGATCCGAAATCCAAACGAATCCGATCGGATTCGGATCGGATTTGCACACCTCTAGTTTGTACCCTTCTGGAAAGTACTTCACTTTGGCTATATAGCCTCCTTTTCGTGTATGCGACATTAGAATCACGAAAACGAGGCTCTATAGCCAAGGTGACATACAGTAGTATTTTCCAGAAGAGTGTATTAACATTTGGATTGTTTTATTTCAATTTCAACAGTTCTGATTCCGAAATCGGAACTGTAAATCAGAACTGTAAATCCTTTATATCAGAACTGTAAATCCTTTGTATATAAGTGTCCATTGTACAGATTGTCCATTATCTGAGATTCCACTGCAATAATAAAACAGTTTCTTGCTCTTTTCTAAAGCTAAGAAATGCCCAGCATTGCGAAAGTTATCGTTTGGTACCGTTGAACCAGTTGATTGTGTTACACGTGCACAGAATTACGCAGCAGGGTGTATATTCCGGTGTAGTAACGGGTACGTAATGCAAGGCCAGGGTAACTTGGTCTGTAGAGAAGATGGTACCTGGTCACACGGTATACCAACTTGTACAGGTAATCATAACTTTTCTTTATATACTTTTTCTCTCCTCTCGAGTTCTCATCCTAACCCTGATTAACCCAATCCTAACTCCAATCCATCATTTCGGCAGAATACTGCAACAAATTGTTGTTTGCCAATATTTATCGGATGAGAAAATAATGTTAATTTCATCTTTTATTTGGAGGCAAACAGATAGAATTGAGAGATCTAGATGTACTTTAATTTTCTTCTATCCTATCCTATCCATGTTGACAAGTTGATCATCAGCTGTTCTCCCAAAATGCTCACGGAAAACTACTCAATATTTTTTTTAACAGTAGTCAGGACCGGGGGTCGGCGCAAAACTGGCCGGGACCCTATGACGTCATAACTGCAAAACTGTTAAACAGGAGAAGAGGTTTTACAATATTCTACATTTCATTGCATATTATTCAGCACTAACACAGTTTGGATTTATATTCTATCCGCCCCCATTTCGGCAGGCCAGTCAACAATTACCACTTTTATTACCTAGCCATAACCACCCAACAATACACCACTTTGACAGATCCAGTATTAAGGAATAGGAACGAGTTGGGGGATGAATTAGCAAATTAAGTTTTCACATTCATTTTCACATACTTGCTCGGGATTTCTGGGTTGAATGTCGACAAATTAAATGCGTTTTGACACTATGTGGTTTCCCAAACTCACCCAGGTCCCAATATACTCCGTACGTACATAAGTGGTATATATATTATATATATATAATATTGTATATAATTAATATATGAAGTGCACAACAGTCACCCAATCTGAAAAAGATAAAAAATACTTCTCGACATTTTCAACAAAAGGTCCTTTGTCAGGATAGTTATAGTTATATACAATTTGCCCCAGCCTGGACCTTCCAGCACAATTGTCTATAAATAGTGTAAATATTGTTTTATCTCTAGATACACAGCCTCCTATGATAGTATGTCCAAAAAGCAGGACAGTCGGAACTGACAAAAACAAACCAACTGCAACTGTTGATTTTGGAGGTGTAGAGTATGGTGATAATTCACAGTTGTTTGGAAATGCTCAAATCAAATTCAAACAAAGCCCTGAGGGAATCCAAAGTCCGCACAAATTTTCTCTTGGGAGAACCACAACTTCTTATACAGTGGAAGATCAGGCGGGCAACATCAATAGATGTAGCTTTTCCGTCGAGGTTGTAGGTAAATTATTTAATTAAAGTAGAATTGTCGGTACGTACCCTAGTCTTACTAGCGTATTGAGAAAATAGACAAATGATATTTGAATCAACTAATCTCATGTTGTTAAAAATCTAGATTCATTTTATGAGCATATCTTTACGCAACATGCTCAAACATTTTTCAGTCAGGAGAGATATGTTCATGGAGCATTAAGCCCGTTCTCCACTACGCGAATTTGTTCGCGCGACGCGAAGCGAAAACCGAAATCCGGCAACGTGATTGGTCGGCGAAAAAATTCGCGGCGAAAAAGTAGGATCGCTTCCTACTTTTTATCTGTTCGCGCGAATAAATTCGCCTAGCGGAGAACGGGCTTTAATGAACTCTAAAAAAACCTTGGGTAAAATTAAGTGATTGACCGATATTCGGTATCGGCATCGGGCTGATTTTTGTCTTATCGGTAGACAATTGGAATCGGTAGAATTGTATAAAACAGTTTGTTGAGAAAATACGCACTTTAAAAATTATATGTATTGCACGTTGATACACATTGCGTTTTAACGAAATATGTTAAATTAATGGTTGAAGCATGCCATTTATTAACGGTTTTAACGATGTTTGGTTACATAAACATGTTACGTTGGAAGTCATCGTTAAAAAATCGACATGAATGACGTCACCTGATATTATGACGTCATTATAAAATCGGCATCGGTAGATTGTGACATGGATAATCGGTAATCGGTAATTTCCGATTGTTGCACAATCAGTCAATCACTAGTAAAATTTTCTGATTAACTTAGAAGTAATCCTTTTTGGATTAACTTAGTCTGGTTAATTTAACCTGGTCAAATATGATCAGATTCGGATTCCTGGTTACATTAACCAAGTGGTAGGAAGTGAGATAAAATAACCAGGAAATTTAAGGGGTGGGTGACACCCTGATATCATAGCACTCCAATTAACTAAAATTGTGCAAAAAGATGAGTATTTAGATGTTATCTCAAAACTCCTTTCAGTCTAGTTTCAGAAAATGCATGAAATGCAATCTTAACAATCCTCCATTGTTATATTTTATGATTTCTATTTGTAGATAAGGAGTCACCTCGAGTAATTTCGTGTCCAAAAGATAAAATAGTGGCAACTAAACACGATAAAGTAGTGATCACCTGGGAACCAGTTATATTTAAAGATAATGCTGGGGATAATAAGTTGACGATTATTGGATCTGATAGAAATAACACGGAGTTTCGATCTGGTACTTATATTATCTCCTACACTGCAACAGATGGAAAAAATCCTGAAGCTCGGTGTCTGTTCACAATAACAGTTACATGTAAGTACTAATGTGACATATTTGGCCTATGCTACTATAGTAATACAATAATAAAGTTGCTCGAACTTCCCAATTACCAACACGTTTTGTTTCAATGTTTTAATGAGATTATAACTAAAAGGATTAGTATCTGGCGGTCATGTTATGGGTCGAGTAGACCAATAGTCCAATAAATCTGGAAAGGTTTTTGTAGTCCGTCGTATATTTAAACCATCTTTTTAGAATCCTTACTTTCTTTATCTGATTCTTATTGGAAATGCACCAAGCAAGGTGTTTTTTTGTTTGTTTGTTTTTTTTATTAATGATTAATAACACATTATCGCATGAAATCTAACTATATTACAATGTATCATTAAGATTAAAATCTATGTAACCAAGAACAATTACTTGTTTAAGACGCAGATCATGCTAGGGAAAAACTGTAACCAAACCTATCAGCTCTACATTTAAAAGAAGAGATTTGTTCAAAATTAAATTCCTTAAATTATACCCATGTTCGTTCTCCCTCGTCAGGGTTAGATGACACGATAGGCAACCGCATTATTGATTTGGAGTAAGATGGTGTGTGATGCTAATCCTTTAAAACTCCTTAAAATATCATTAATAATTCATAAACGTTGTTGCAAATCATGTCAGCCATAATATGTCACGTGGAGTGACTTTATATCTGATAAAACTCATCTTTATTTGTATTCTTTATATAATTGTTCATCCTAATTAGTATGATTATATAATTTTCATGTCATCCTATAATTAGTATTCTTTTGTACTAGAGTCGTATTTTAAGTTATTCATATTCAAAACACTCGTTGTCGTGTTTATCAGATATAAAACGCTCGGCTGCGCCTCGCGTTTCATATCTGATAAAACACTCCTACTCGTGTTTTAATTAGTACATCAAGGTGAGGGACTGCATGGCTCTTCTGCATTTAATACGCACATATTTCCACCTGCGCGGATCGTCATTCGTCACAATTATACTAAATATTCGATAACGCATTGTTATAATATAACTTTAATCCAAATTTGAAAGCATGCAAACCATTAAAGCGTTCCATGATTTACGTTGTACGTCGGTAGGCTGCATGCTAATGATTTTATAATTCTTTGTTTGCAATGACGTAATTTTGGGATTTCTGTTGACGGACAGGTATAACAAAAAACGGCTATTTTAATGTATTGATCGAGTTTAGAGACAGTTTAAATTAAGACTCAAAAGATGAATTATACCGTTCAGTTTTTCTTGCTACAACCATTCTGATAGGAGAAAAATCGTCCACAAGTTGTTTGATTGCCCGTCATTTGGATGAAAAGTCACGTGATTGCAAACAAAGGATAGAGTAAAACCAAGTCCAAGTATTAGTAAGCAAGTTGATATAGTATTGTTTTATACGCCGGGACGTTGGTGATAAATATATTTCTTATGTATTTCAGCATTACCGTGTCCATATTACCCACCACCAATCAATGGAGGTGTCGCAATGAAAGATTATTGGGGTGCACCAGCAGCATTTATAAGTTGTAATAAAGGGTATGACTTTGCAACCACGCCTGCTTGGTTGTACCAATGTTTTGTTGATGGTACATGGCTCTTGTACCCCGGAACTGCCACAATGCCTTGGCCTGATTGTACAGGTAAATTACTACTTATTCTTGTTTATAATACCATCGCATTGTTTCCTACTGATCAAGTACAGTCGCGTAGGTTTTGATATGAGCAAGATTAAGTCACCTTATCTCTCACACAATGATATAGCGATAATTTTTAGATGAAGAAATGGGAGGGACGGGTCGGGTGTGGGGCGTGGAAAATATGAAATATTTAAATGAATAAAAGGACAGCATTTAAATATTTGTATGATTTAAAGTGTATTTGTTGAGGTGATTAGTACTCATATAAATAACATTTAGAAAGATTAAAATTTTTCCGTGCTTACACGTACGTATGACAAACTGAAAAGCAGTCTTCAGTAAGTCACATCAGAAATCATGAAGGTTACAATAAACATATAAGAATGCAAAAAATTACAATTGTTAAGAACTAACTAGTGGGTGATGCTAATGTAGTTACGTTTCCAAGTCTTATGTAAGTTAGTAATTGTCAGTTTGTCTATTTGGAATGAATGTTTTTCTCGCGCATGCGTGTAAACAGTATCCTTTGCATACTGTTGTAAATCCATACTACTAGTCTTAAGCAGGTTAAGGTCACGTGACCTCTTAGTAGAAGTCGCCTATTAGTAAATCTAAGCACTACACACCTGTTTCTTTGTTGGGAAGGGCGGTGGTTAATAGAGGGGCTTGATAAATTTTGTCCTTTAAGAAAAGGGGAGTTTATTTGAGAAATGTTAATGAAATTAAATATATGTTTTTGGTTTATAAATTGTCTACTAATTTGTAATCTAGTTGTCTACGATGCTGACGCCAGGAAAGGAATGGAGTTACAGTACTTCTCCGGTGATTGCACGGATCCTGCAGTTCAACTAGAGGCGAAGAAAAACTTTTTAAAAGCTTTCAACATTTTTCTACAAGACCAGTTTCCTGATTATTGTGATATTGAGCAGAGTTGCACTGTCGAGAATGTTCAAGTTTTATGTGGTCAGAAACAAGGAATTGGAAATAGACGTAAACGCGGAATTCCAGGGGTATGTAAAGTAGCTACTGTAAAACCCTGGTTTTATAAACCTCTTTAAAAGATTTTTAATTTAGATCCCTGCCCGTTTGAAAGTGCCAATAAACGTCATTTGGTGGCACTAAACGTAGCCTGCGTGCAGGCCCAAGCGAACTGATATCAGTTCCCTTGGGCCTGCACGCAGGCTACACTAAACGTCATTCGTATGTAAAAGTATTTTTAAAATAATAAGTAACTTGTTTCAAAGCTTCTTGTTTCTTCACCATCTTTTAATATACAATTACTTTATGGTTTCCGTGTTTGGATGGCCTGATCCAAACACGCGGGAATGTTGCGAGAGTTAAGAAAAGCGAGCGAAATCACGAGCCGAAGGCGAGTGATTTTGCCCGCTTTTCTTAACTCGAGCAACATTCTCAAGTGTTTGGATCAGTCCATCCAAACACGGAAACCATAAAGTAATTGTTTTATAAAATAACAACAACACGGTAGTCTTCCGTGTTTGGATGGCCTGATCCAAACACGGCTTTCGACCAATCAGAATACGCGTTATATACATGTTATTTTATAAAGATATTTCAGTTACTTTGTTTGATGTGCAAATCCAGAATTTAACTCACATATGCTTAACGCCACTAGCCGCTAGTCCTATTTTGGGTAAGTGAATATTCGCCGTGACTCATCTCAATCACTAAATATTTCTATTAATAACATAGAAAAATTAACATAAAGAATTAAGGCACCTTAACATATTAAACAAATTTTTCCGGACAGTACATTCAGTTCATTTTCTTTTGGTTTAACGTACCGTTATTCCTTAAAATCTCGCCAATTTCTCCTAATTTTAGCTCTAATTATTAGTTTTTAATCATTGTCACTCATATATTTCCCTTCCTATCCAATTCATGTTTCGCCGGCTACGAAAACAATTTCCCGACTGGAATTCAATAATTTACCGACTACTTGACGGTTGGGGTGTGCTTTTCTTTTTTTTCTTTTTTTTTAACAAATTTGTTTGGATCAATGTATATACAAACATGCAAAAAAAGCGAATATTTACATAGTAAAACACAGACATTTTAAAGTTGGATCCAAAAAGGCAAGGTACGAACGGGACTCTTTGAAAAATTCCAATGCAAGGCACCTGCCGTCCAATTATATCATTATATGTACAGTTATATACACATAGTACACGTACGCACGCTCACAGACAAAACACACACACAGACTGCATGGTTACACTGCATAAACGCTTAAAGATAGACTATTAAAAAACACATTTATTTTCGCTATTCTCTATGACAGGGACAGTCACGCACCAAGGACCAAGTACAGGATAGTTCAACATGCATATACTGAGCGTAGAAGTTCTAAATATCTGCGTTTAAGAAAGTTGCTTCCCCCTCTAGCGGCGGCCCTGACGACAATTTTAGTTATTTGACAATTATTGAGTGAGGTTGCGTATATACGATATGAAATATCTCGAGAAAAAAATTATGACTGGAGAGTGAATAAGATGTACAAACTTGCTTTTAAGTCTTTATGCATGTGTGACGTAAATTCAAACATTAATTTGCATATCAAAATTAAAAACAAACTGAACTACTCAAAAACAAAACGAGGAAATGAAAATGTCAAAATAAGTAACCTTATATATCGTTTTAAACGTTCTTTAATTGAAAAAATGATAAAATTAAGGTTAGTGGCTCTTGAAGACTTGAACTCCTGTCAGCTAATCCTCCCTTCGTTACAATTATTTACAGAAAACGGTATTTATTGACATTGAGGTAAAAATGCAAAACAAGAAAGGAAAAACACCAAGTGACCTCGTCAGTGCTCTCGACAGTGTCTCAGCAAAAGTGAAAAGTGAACCAAAACTGCAGCAACTTCAAACTAACAAACAAATGTTAACATATGAAACATTATTGGAGAACCCTGCCGAAATCTCGTGTCGAAATGGTAGTGTTTTTGGAATGAATGCTTCCCCCGACAAAGGTGCTTTCCAGAAATGTCGTAAGTATATTGAGTGTCATTATCATTTGTTCAGATTGTGTAAACACAGTTATACCGCCACCTTTTGGGCCCTAGTTACCTACTGTCCATTTCAGTCAAAAGTTGACTGCCTGAGTCAAAGCATTCTGACAAAGCGTTCTGTTAGTGTTTCTGTATAAACCCTTACCGACTGAATAGGGTATCTTATGCAAGGGACTTTTTGAAGCTTCGAGTGTAAATTCGAAATCAAATAAACTTGCCAAATAGCAATTTAAATCAATAACTTCAGTGAGTAATGGTTAAAGCAATCTTTACAATCAACCAAGATGGCGCCTAATAACACGTAGTGACGTCATGCGGAAACTATAAGAATATATAATGGCAATTCGTATAATCTCTTCTCTTGACCATCATCCTCACAGAAAGCTGTCCTGCTGGCACGTACTTTGATCTAAAACTGAAATCATGTCAAGACTGTCCTAAAGATACTTACCAGGAAGAAAGTGGCCGATTTCACTGCAATAAATGTCCACAGAAAACATTCACAACAGGATCTAAGGTCAAGAATGCTACTGACTGTCGAGGTATGTAGTCAAAAAATGCCATATGAATTATGAACTTTTAAGGAAACCAAGCAAATAGTACTACAGTGCGGTGCCCTGGAGCATGCGCAAAACAAGAGCACCACAAACGCGAAGAAATACTAGTTTTCCGATTTTCCGATTCTCCGATTTCTACAATTTTCCGATTCTCTGATAAATTAAATTTTTCAATGGTTAGGATAATTGTAATTGTTGACATTTATTGTATATATATATATATATATATATATATATATATATATATATATATATATATATATATATATATATATATATATATATATATATATATATACACTGGATCCAGAAAAGCTTGACCTTCGAATATATATATGTCGGCCATTTTGAATTTTCT